ACGTAACATCGACCAATAATAGTGAATGAAAATTCTGTCGTGTCAATAGGCTCGCTAAACGACCACAGCTTTTCAGGCAATAGACCATACGACCTACAGCATGCATGTGCATCCAACCAAGAATAATACAAATGACCAGAGAGTTAGAATACGTTGAAACTTTTAACTGCTCACAGTCAGGGTTCAGGGACAAGCGCAGCACAAATCACCGCTGCAATAGCTTCGCGCTGTACTGAAGACAACTGCATTCTGGCTTACCATATTCTAAACATAATCGAAGGTCGCCACTTACGATGGCTACATGAAACACCCTGACCGCTTGATTCCTAAAAGGCAACGCCATAATGGTCACTATCCCCTAACAGGTCCGCGACGATATCTCTCTTTCTCTCACAGGAGCTTATGTACATAGCGTGTATAAACAGTAGGCTATCGAAGCAAACAAACCGCGTTGCAGTGACGGTCAGAAAACAGCGATCAAGAAGTGCGAATGAGCTTCTTGTGGCCCATAAGAATCTGCTACAACGTTGCGCCTAGTCAATGACTCATTCATTACTATCCTTTCCGACAATTCTCACCTTAAAAATAGACGGTATAAGCTGGGCCTAAAAGCCTTGTGAAAGAAGACTCAATTAGAAAATATAGAACGATGCGCGTCCGCCAGACAACATCATACATATGGCTATAAAAATGAACGTATTCATGGATCCCGCTTCGAATTTCAATTACCAGTCCTCGGCGGTTAACAAAACATCAGAAAGCGACGTTCTCTACATTCATTGGTCTACCTCCCATTTGATATAATCGGCCGCCACTGTGCAGCCTTCTGTGGTCAGATATTGAGGCTATTAACAGACATCCTTTACTGCTGCAGAAAATAACCCCGTAAGGACTATCTGAAATCGTATCTCTCCGTTGTTTTGCAGGCGGAAAATACGACTGGAACAAAACAACTTGCCAAATTAGACTAAGAGAATATCTCTTGTAGCGACCGCATGAAGGACATACAGCTTAAATGTACTAAATAACAGAACATTAGCTATAACAAATTAAAAACAAAAATCCCTTCGATTTATGGTCAAGTGCAACAACAATCTAATAAAGATCTTGAAATTCCTTAAGTTCCAAAGCACTTCGATGGAACATATTAGCGTCATAAAGGTAACAATATAAACTAAACAATTTAGCAGAGTAATGAACTGATATTAAAGCCAATTATGAAGTGATATTAAGCTCAAAATAGCGTACTTCCAATTCCACCCTAGCTTCATCCAGTCTCTCAATATCAGCGGCATCAACGAGAAATACAATTGCATCAACAGCTGGAAAGTAGTCTTTCCACACACGGCGAGCTAAAAAGGCATCAAATTGAGTTATCAGAAGGTTTCAGTATTTTCATACATGAAACGATCGATTCAAAGTTAGGCATTCGATTTTAGTCATCGAAGTTTGTGGAAACAAAGTCTTACACAATTACGTTAACAGTTATTTTACATTGCAACACATCTAATTAGACAACTGCAAGATGAAGATAACAATAAATAGTCAATGAGAGGATTAATACATTATAAATTTGCAATTAACCATCAGAAGAAAAATTACCGGCATATTTATAAAGAAACTCGAGAAAAACAAAAGATACTACGAGTAATACCAAACAGCACATCACTTCAGGTCGTTTGACCATACTTAACTTCTCAGTTTTCACTGAAGAAATTTCATAAATGCCCAAAACACAAAGCGCGATACTGCTGCTTTTGAAATTTAAATTTATTTCTTAAAGGCCTCTAAAAAGGTATGAGAAGATTTCAACTCACAGAAATAAGAGAAAAACTTTAAAAATACCAATTCACACAACTGATGGCAAACCTGTTACGTATAATGTAAGGTTTACGTCTAATCCACACTGGTAGAGAAAGTTGCAAGTGACAGTTTTTCATAAAATGAATGACCCGAACCAGTCTCTTATACCAATTTAATCTTAAACTGCACCATCTGATTTGGTGGCATAGAACGCTGCTGACAGACACGAAAAATAAGTTATCACACTTCGCTACTCAGTATAGCTGCGGCCTCACCAGTTTTCCTGGCAAAAAACTGCAGAATAAATGAACTGATATGTACAATGAAGAAGTAAGAGGATAGGTAAGAGAAAGAAACAATTGCAATACTCTTTATGCTGTCATCACCTGCTGTCGCAGAACAACGGTTCAAACAGGAAATAAATTTAACAGGTCGTCTGATCTCGTTGAACTGATTCCCATGAAACATTTTTATGCCAATCAAGCGATTTTTTTTTGGTCTTAAAAATATCAGACAGCCAGATTTACTTAAGTGAATTCTATGGCACAGGATAAGTTGCCAAAAGCTAGATAAAGCAAAAGAACAAACAGACAGACGAGTCTTCTCCCGGGATGATCGAGGCTTATTACTCTGTGCGACTCGCGTATTACTGCCCATTCTTTAGATATTCCCGTTTAAAACGTTTTGCATGGAATAGAAAACAGCCCAATTTCTACATAAGACAACATTTACGTTTCAAGTAGAATCACGAAATGTCATATCCAAAAGTTTGATATTTGCAAACGCTGGTTTAAGTAAGAACGCCAGAATTGTGAAATATCACAATTTTTCAGATTTATTAAACACTTGTGAGGCTCAGACGTTTCTCTCGACAAGCTTCGTATATTTTATCATTAACTATCAGCGACAGGATAACGGAACAACGA